ATTTCCTTCTCCACTTGTGGTAGAATAGGAAAAGGAATACAACGTGGTGTGGTTATGCTGTAGGGTTCTGCATCAGGTCTAAGCTCAATTTTAGGGTCGTTGTCCTGCTGGAAGGTGAAGCTCCGCCCCAGTCTCAAGTCTTTTGCAGACTCCAAGAGGTTTTCTTCCAAGGTTGCCCTGTATTTGGCTCCATCCATCTTCCCATCAACTCTGACCAGCTTCCCTGTCCCTGCTGAAGAGAAGCCCCCCCAGAGCACGATGCTGCCACCACCATATCTGACAGTGGGGATGGTGTGTTCAGAGTGATGTGCAGTGTTAGTTTTCCACACATAGCGTTTTGCATTTTGGTCTCATCTGACCAGAGCACCTTCTTCCACATGTTTGCTGTGTTCCCCACATGGCTTGTGGCAAACTGCAAACGGGACTTCTTATGGTTTTCTGTTAACAATGGCTTTCTTCTTGCCACTCTGCCATAAAGGCCAACTTTGTGCAGTGCACGACTAATAGTTGTCCTATGGACAGATTCCCCCACCTGAGCTGTAGATCTCTGCAGCTCATCCAGAGTCACCATGGGCCTCTTGGCTGCATTTCTGATCAGTGCTCTCCTTGTTCGGCCTGTGAGTTTAGGTGGACGGCCTTGTCTTGGTAGGTTTACAGTTGTGCCATAATCCTTCCATTTCTGAATGATGGCTTGAACAGTGGAGGCAGCACGGTGGCACGGTGGTTAGCACTGTTGCCGCACAGCAAGAAGGTCCTGAGTTCAATTCCAACATCAGGCCGGGGTCTTTCTGTGTGGAGTTTGCATGTTCTCCCCGTGTTTGCGTGGGTTCCCTCTGGGTACTCTGGTTTCCTCCCACCGTCCAAAGACATGCAGCTTGTGGGGATAGGTTAACTGGATAATCCAAATTGTCACTAGGTGTGAATGTGAGTGTGAATGGTTGTCTGTCCTTGTGTGTTGGCCCTGCGACAGACTGGCGACCTGTCCAGGGTGTACCCTGCCTCTCGCCCTATGATAGCTGGGATAGGCTCCAGCTCAAAATAAATTTCCTGTGGTTGGAAACAATTTTTTGCAACTTTTTTGTATTTAAAGTTTTGAGGGACAAACCTTTTAAATATCTCTAAGTAGAAATATATGTAAAAAACAAAAAACAAAAATGATTTTCAATTTTTTTTGTAGTTTATTGCAATTTTTTGCAATTTATGTAATTACTATGGACTTAATGCATACATATTGTTAAAATTTGGGCTATAACAGTTGTATTGATGTATAGCAACTTGAAATGCTCCCAAAAATGGCTCCACAGCATGTAAAAATATAAAGTAAGCTCTGGCGGACTTGGTTCTATGGTAGGACTTAAAGGGTTAAATACTCTGGGATCAACAAGTAGGCCTGCAGTGTGAGAGTGAAGTGCTCTAATAGGGTGATATGGTACTATATCATATCACCCCATTTGCTATTTAAAAAGGTTAAAACTATTTTCCTTTAAAATGTGCACTTCTCATACTGGAGTCTTCAGTGTCAACTGGCTTCCCTGCTGCAACTGTGTCCTACAAAAAAACAACTCCTCCTTCCTGTTTTCTCTCTCCTTTATAGAGAAGGTCTCAAATCATTACCATTCAACGGCTCCCTGTACTCAACTCCAAATAGCTTGCAGCTGCTCTAAAGTAGAATCACCACTCCTACATGGGTGTGGCCCACATCTCACACAAAACAAAAACACCAAAGCATGCAATTATTAAAATGAAAAATAACGCCAACTCGATGTTTAGTGGGAGATTCTCTCAGTCATTCCACCATGCCACATTCTGCAACTCTACAGACTTCCTCCCTCTCCTGCTACATCTCTGAGACGTGATGATCGACTGCTAGGGATGGAATCAAGAATAGGTTCCTAGTAGTCCAGTTCCTTGGAATGGTTAGTCTGCCTGCCTACTGATCCCGCTTATCGGTTCTTGCCCTCTCACTAAGATCAGCTGATTTCAGTTCGTGTGTCGGAAGTAAAAATAGTGGTGCATTCTTCACCATAGACATGGACATTACTTTTATCATTAATGCACAAAGGGATGGAGAGTGAGATGGCAAAGTGACGACTGCTCCAGGACAGAAACAACTGCGTTATAATGTTAACACAACTTCGCCTTTTGCAAAACTGCATGCTAACGCTAAGGTAGCCAAGAACCCCAGAGTGGTGTTAAAGCTCAGTAAATGCTGACATTGCTCTTACTGTATATAGTGATAAAGTGAGCCATCATTTGTGGTGAAGCCAGCCTGTAACAAACTGATGATCAGTCAGGCTGCAGCTTCTATTTCTACCTGTTCATGTTTCTACAGTAGAATCACGGCAATGATTGCTTGTGCTGGTTTTCATCTTTGCTTTGTGTTGTCAGCTTTGTTTTCATACCTAAATACTAAGACAAAGATGACATGTGTCCTCACTGGGATAGGGATTTGTGTTGGTGTGTGGGACTGTAGCTTTATATTGTTAAATGGCCATTATGAGACAGTGCTTTTCAGATCATTTTGCAGAGTAACATGAAGGTAACATAATGAGTAATGAATGTCTTTGTTCAAAGACATTCAAAGACAGTATGCAATAAAATACTGCGTTACTTTTAGGAAAAGTGTTCTGTGTAATACGGGTAATAACGTTTTTACTTTACTTTTAAATAATGACCCCAACACTGAACACAAAAAAGAGGGGAAATACCTCTAAAATGCACACGCATTAGACCACACGCATGAAATTACTTTGCATGAATGTAATGTCATGATATGCTGCTTAGACATGGTGGTGACTCTCAAAGTGGAGCCAATAAGAATCGACAAGGAATCAAATCAAGTTATATTGATAATGGCATGGGAATCGCTAAATTCTTACCGATTCCTATCCCTACTGACTTTTTTTTTTTTTTTTTTTTTTTTTTTTTTAAGTTAACATGTTCTTTATTTTATTTTATTTTTTTTTTGCTTGTCCCGTTTGGCTCTTTTGCATCAGAATTGTTGTCTAAAGGCAAAGAAAGATGCCCAACGGATTTACTTTACCAAACTGACCATCCCAGCCTTGCCATAATGGTCCATTTGATTCACCTTTTATTGTTTATTTTATTTTCACTTACTGAATACGGGACAGACTTGACTGGAGGAAAGAAGGGGAGAAAGAAAGAGGCAAAGAGAAACAGCTGAGAAGAGGGACGGGGGAGAAGGGCAAAAGACAAAAACCAAAAGAACGGGCAGAGAAAAAAAATGCATATATCAATCACCTGGGTCACCTGCTGAGAAAGAAAAAAGAAAGCAAGCAGAAGAGAACAAGAGTAATAGAATAAACAACATCACAATGATATATGGGAATATGACAGTAAATACTAAATGTTAAACATTATTGTGCAGCACATAAGATCAACAGAACACAGTGTGCTTTGAGGTAGGAGCCAAAAAGGGTGTAGTTTGTGGGTGTGATCACCCGTGTGTACACCTGTGAGCATGGACGCGCTTGTTTTTAAAAGGTTCCTTCATGTAATAATCTGCTAGAGGGTGTGGGGGGGCCACAGCCCCGTCCTCCAGGGCATGAAGCAGGTGTGGAGGAGATCAAAACTCCAGACATCCAGAGGCCCCCAGAACACAAGAGACCAAGGAAGACCAACAGAGGGGCAGCTGCGCCACTGTCCCGGAAAGAGCTGAGGAGAGTCCCAGATGGCTCACTCAGCAGCCGCGGAGCAGAAGCCAGGGGGAGTTGCAGTGACGCGCCCGTGAGCTCCGCCGGCAGCCAGCTGCGCCTGAGTGACCGAGCCCCAGGCCGAGAGGCCGGGGGCACCCCACCTCCGAAGTGGCCCGAGCGAGCCCCAGGCTCCAGGCCCCGATAAGCGGCCGCCAAGGAGTGAGCTGGTGTGTACCTGGACGCCCATCCCCGGACACAAAGAACCACCAACACACCAATGTCTGAGGGGGTCCGCCACTGGCAGGGGAAGTGGTGGTAGGGGGAGATAGGCCTCCAAACCTTGGAGGGCCTGAGATGTCCACAGAGAGGTGGCGTCTGATACCCAACCTGACATATAGACACAGACATACAGGCACACACAGACACAAACATCCATTCCCACCCTCATGCTCTCATATGCACTTACTCCACACTCAACCAACGTGGAGACAGACATAAAGAGACGTTGTACACACGATCACACTCCCTAAGCGTACTCTACAAACCGGGTCTAGGTGCCCCTGCCCCTGGAGGGGGGAACTGCACCCAGACCCAGGTGGTGTTTCCCTTTTCCCTGCGGTGGGGGGAGGCAGACCGCCCCGACTCCGCAGCAGCAGGAAGGCTCCACACTCCAGACCGCAGTCGGACGGCCAACTCCTCCTCCTAGTCCCCCCGCTCCAGCAGGTCGCAGAGAACGGGGGTGAGAGAAGACTCCGAACCTCCCTCCACCCGCTCATTGTAATGTTGATGCATGTGTGTTCTAAGGTGCATTTAAAACCCAGGAGGGCTTGGAGCTACCTGCCAGAGATCCCTACTATCCCTACTGACTACTTCTGACACCATGTCATGAAAAGTCATAGGATTCATTGGAAAACCCGGAGTGGAGTATTTTTTGTTGCGTGGATTTCTTTTTTCCTCAAATTTTGCCAGGACTGTGAACTTTTGCTTCAACTTGTGGTTGTTATTATATTGCTTTCCTTATGAATATGGGTGAAACAGTTCATTTTTAAATTAGGCTTAAAACTTTACTTTTTGATGTAGCTTTTTTTTTGGCATCTATCAGGTGACGCTGGACTATTATCATTGTTGGGCTGCAGCTGCCGGGGAACCTTACATAATACAATCAACATTTAAATATTGAATAACTCCCTTTTAACAGAAAGAAATCTCCACCAAAGGCAGGTTCAGGGAGGGGAAGCCATTTGCCTCAACTGGTTGGGGTTAAGGGGAGGAAGACAGGATACTGTGCAAGTCACAGGTCAAACTTGCTGTGAAATGTCCTAACAGTACTCTGTTTTGTTACAGGTGCTAGCAAACCCCACTCCAGTACCGACAACAACCAATTCTGCCATCCACAAGATCAATCCCTCTTCAAGGTGGTCCAAGTTAAAGATTGTGACAAAGCAGTCTGGGGATGAATGCATCACAGCTTTAGAGATCGTTCCACCTGTAGATGGAGCCGAGAGGCATTCAATCCCAATCAGCCGTCCTCGAACTGTGGCAAGAAAATTTGCAAGCATTGCTAGAAGCCAAGTGAGAAAGAAAAGACAGATGGCTGCCAGAGAAAAGAAAGTAGGTTAATACACGACATAAGTTTAAGACATATAATGGAAATAATAGAGGAACTCGTTATTTAGATTTGATTATCGGACTCAGCCTCTGCACAAGCAAAGAACAGAAGTCTTGGAGAATAAATAAAATATGACAGGAAGACCCTCACTCACTTTGTTTCAAGCTAAAACCCAGCGTATGTAAGTCAGTGGTTCTAACAGTCATAGGAAGAGTTGTTAAGCAGATGTCACTATTATCTCAGCTTTAATGTCCTGGTGCACGCTCAATCATCCAGGTAAGGAAATCCCAAAAGGTTGATTCTGTTCATCTGGACGTAGCGTTTTCACTGGAAACGCTACGTCCAGATGAACAGAATCAACCTTTTGGGATCTCAGCTTTAAGTCGCTTTAATGCTGTCTCACCCTTGAGATTACCCGAGACACAGAGAGCAGATATGTTTTATCTAAAGCTAACAGTGAGCGGCTGTTTTCCTGTGTGTGCAAATATTAATTGAGGTGCAGGGCAATTTAGCACGTTTGGACATGTTTTTAACGTAGCTCATACTAAAAGGTTTGGCACTGTCGTTTTGTACATAATACACATTATGCATACTTAACATGGTCAGCTCGTCTGTGAGTTATGTGACTGTCATCTCACTGCAGTGTGTGAGAAACAAAGAGCTGACAGAGTTCACAGATTATCTATCTTTGGACTTTGTGTCTACATGTTCCGGTTTATTTATTCTTCATCTCTCCTTTCTTCCATTCTTCATAGGTAACCAAGACTATCTTTGCCATCCTGCTGGCTTTCATCATAACATGGACACCGTATAATGTGATGGTGTTGATCTCAACCTTCTGCCAGTCCTGTGTCCCTGATACAGTGTGGGCAATTGGCTACTGGCTGTGTTATGTCAACTCTACTATCAACCCAGCTTGTTATGCACTGTGCAATGCCACATTTAAAAAGACTTTCAAGAACCTGTTGCTATGCCAATATAAAAATATAGGAACAAGATAAGATAGAAGGAGGATATTTGAGATAGGATGGAAGGCAAAGCTGTAAATCATTGCAAGAAGTTGTGCGAAAGAAAAATGAAGGAACTGAATGAAGAATAGCAGAACTGGGTGATGGGTGCCTTCTGAAGAGACCAGAAACTTGGAGCAGATTAGTAAATGTATTTATTCTACAAATGAATGAGTGCTCCCTATTCATACAGTCCAAGCAACACGTGAGTGTAAACCAGAGATTATTTTATTCTTTTACCTGTCAAGCTACCCAAAATTGCACTGTGAGTAGAAATTTGGTTTCACTAACACAGAAATTAATTTCAAATGAAGATGTAGATGCTATAAAAGGAGAGGTCAGTGATTGGATCTGCGTGGTGATGCGTGAGAATGTGGCCGAGAAAGTGGCTTTGCCTGATCTGTGCTGTGTGTATGTACATACGTATGTATGTATGTATAGCTAGATGTATAAATAGACTGGTGGATCTCTTGATGTATTAACACAAGGGGCGATCGTGGCTCAAGAGTTGGGAGTTTGCCTTGTAATCGGAAGGTTGCCGGTTCGAGCCCCAGCTTGGACAGTCTCGGTCGTTGTGTCCTTGGGCAAGACACTTCACCCGTTGCCTACTGGTGGTGGTCAGAGGGCCCGGTGGTGCCAGTGTCCGGCAGTCTTGCCTCTGTCAGTGCGCCCCAGGGTGGCTGTGGCTACAATGTAGCTGCCATCACCAGTGTGTGAATGTGTGTGTGAATGGGTGGATGACTGGATATGTAAAGCACTTTGGGGTCCTTAGGGACTAGAAAAGCGCTATATAAATACAGGCCATTTACCATTAACATATCTAAGAAAGCAATGTTAAACTAGACTCTATTCTCTAGAGTTTGAGCTCAACCTACTGTCAGTTCTGAGTCCCTGACATGGCATGAGCAGTTGGCTACTGGCTGTGTTATTAACTCTGCTATCAGTCTGGGATGTTACACAGCAACAGTCACAACAACACAAAATATCAGATGGACGGAGAAAAGAAGAATGGGAAGGAAGAAATACTGTTATTATTGCCAGTAACCAAGACTGATTAAACAAATGAATACCAGAGATTCATTGGACGGTGCCTTTCAAATGGAGGCTACAGGAGATTAGCAACAACAGTTTGTTCATATAGCATAAAACAGAGTTTTACTTAACATACCCAACCTGCTTAAACTAAGATGCACCAAAACACCAGATGTCTTTCAGATACAGTAAAACTACTGGAGTCCAGAAATAGCTTCCAGACTCACACTGATAATTTAACACTAAACAATGATGCAATTCAATGCAGCTTTATTTATATAGCACCAAATGACAGCAACAATCACCTCAAGGTGCTTTATACTGGAAGGTAAAGTAAACTCTATGATGATACAGAGAAATCTAGACAATCACATGACCCCCTATGACCGAGCACTTTGCAACAGCGAGAAGGAAAAACTTCCTGGAATAAACAGGAATAAACCTCAGGCTCATCTGCCAGCTGGGGCTATGTGAAAGTGGCGTGCTGTGAAAGAGAGACAGAGTAATAATAACGGATGATTAAATACAGAGTGACAGAGTAAACACATAGTGAATGATACGGGTGAGTGAAGTAGAAACTCCCAGAGCATCATGGGAATCCCCAGCTGCCTACACCTATTGCAGCATAACTAAGGGAGGATTCAGGATCACCTGGTCCAGCCCTAACTATATGCTTTAGCAAAAAGGAAAGTTTGAAGCCTAATCTTGAAAGTAGAGATAGTGTCTGTCTCCTGAATCCAAACTGGAAGCTGGTTCCACAGAAGAGGGGCCTGAAAACTGAAGGCTCTGCCTCCCATACTTCCTTTATCCAAGGAACAACAAGTTAGTCAACAGTCTGAGAGCGAAGTGCTCTGGATTTATCATGGAGCCAATAAAGAGAACTTCACTCTTTCTTTCTAGTCCCTGTCAGTACTCTCGCTGCTGCACCTTGGCTGCCAGTCAGAAGACAGAGTCAGAAGACTAATTGACATTAGTCCTCTCCGGTGTACATGTACTTGTATCCACACCCATGGCCAGGTTAGAATCACCACTTTACCTGGTCATGTCCTTAGACAAGAAACTTGGTGGAAAAAAATCCACACAGAAAGTGCACAGATGATCAAGTGCTCCTTGCAATAAACTGCACTAACAACTTTGCACAACTTTGTATCCCTAAGTCTGTTTACCCCCCATTTTATTCACTTTATTTCAGTTAGTTTGCTCAGATTGAGGATTTGTTCTGTGAGAGCCCCTAATGATTTTCCATATTATGGAGCAAGAGCGAGCAGTTACTGCGCCTGTTTGCTTCACATTGACCTGCAGTTTTGCAGATTTGTCTTGTGTCTACGAGTCATCACATACAGCTTCTTTAGAATTAACACTTCACAGAACTATTTGTGAATTTCTAAAAATCTTGCCAGTTAGCAGGTCGACTGAGAGGTGAATGGTAAACGGCCTGCATTTGTATAGCGCTTTACTCAGTGTAGTGTGGCATTTTACACTACATTCAGTCATTCACACATTCACACACACAGAGGTAAAACAAGAGCCATGTTTAGAAGGCAGTGCAATGTGCAGATGGCTGAAATAACAGGAGAGATAAAAAGGAGTACAGGTTGAGAGAGGAGAGAGAAAAGACATATGACTTGGATATGAGGAAATGAAAATGAGAGACTGGTAGAAATGGGGAAAAGAGTATTAGAGAAAGCAATCCTGAGCTTGTGGGAGAAAAGTAGGGCATGATAGGAGGAGAACAGAGGGACTCATTCCCTGATTTAGTCCTGGTCTCCCAACCCTAATTCTCATGCTGGAGACAAAATAAGAAACACAGGCTGAAGCACAACAATTCATCAAAAGTAAGGATGTTACCTCTGTCATTTATCACCATATTATTAGGATACATTTTAACTCTATTTAATGTAGTAACACTTATGTGTTTGTGATATTTCACAGTGAGTTTTACTTGTGAGTCATAAAGGTGTTTGATAGTGAGTTTTCAAAAATGAAGAGGGAATTTGGGTCAGAATTTCACACAAGGTTTAGGTTTTGTAAGACTCGGCCTAATTCAAATGTCATTATCCCATCTGAGAAATCAAGTGACTGCTCAGGCAGCTGCATGAAATCCTTGTTGGCTCAGAAGGACTTGTGTCTTTTTATAATGTGGCTGTCCCAGCTTAGCATAGCTCAGGAACCTGTCAGACATTAGACCAACTGACATTAGATTACTGTAAGTAATCCAAAGTATTCAGAATACGTTACTCTCATTGAGTAACTTATCGGAATATGTTACAAAATACATTTTGGGCCATGTATTCTGTAATCTGTAGTGGGATACATTTTAAAAGTAACCCTCCCAACACTGCCCTTCACCTTAAATAACCATAACCAGTACATAAAATGAAATACAACCCCCTAGTGGTGATAAAGGGAAACTAGAAAAATGGCTCATATGGGGATATAAAAAGAAAATCATGACAAAGCATTAATCGACCCAGGGACAAAGAGGGACTCTGCTTTCTTATATCAAACTCCACACGTAGTAAAGAGGTTTGATCCCAGTCTGCTCCAGTCTGCATGCCAAATGCCCATCGTAGCCTCAGCATGGTCACCACGGAAGGCATTCAATAGCACCAAAAATTGCTATATAGTCATCAACCAGTAAGTTCTGGTTGAGAAAACTCAGTGAACATCAGTCAACAGGAGCACCCACAGTACACATAATGATATCCCAAAGACCTCTATCAACTATCTGAAAATAAAAGACCAGAAAGCTAGTGTTTGCAAACTGGAGATAATTTGATATGCAGTAAAAAGTGCTATCACTTTGAATCAAGGTGCAGCGGAGCTTTTGGAATGTAAACGTTAGGTCACAACAATTTTGCTTTGCCACCATACAGGAAGCTAAAGTGTACATTTGCCTTTTATAAGTTAACGGTTGCCCTTGCTTTGCTCCTTCTTGTACAAGTGGTTGATACTTTTATTATCTTTTGTATCCAGTAAATCTCTGCTGTGTATGGTTGATATCAGGTTCTGCCAGTAAAACGTGCTAGTAAGTGTTATGGTGTAGAGTCCATGTACAGCAGGGGTGGGAAACTCCAGGCCTCAAGGGCCGGTGTTCTGCAGGGCTTAGATGTGTCTGAAGTATCTGCGTTTTTTCTTTAGAGGGACATAGATCTGACAGTCATCAGCCTAAAAGTGGAAAGCAATGCCGTGCTTTCTCAGTACAGAACCAAGAAGAAGCAGATATATTATCCCCAGAGAGCACTTTGCTCTCAGACTGATGATTAACTTGTAGCTTCTAAAGTTTCTAAAAGTAGAATGGGAGGCAGAGCCTTCAGTTTTCAGGCCGCTTTCCTGTGGAACCAGCTAAGATTGGCTCCGGAGATCATCCACCATCCCTCAAGAATGGCTTTAGTTTCAGGCCTCCCATGACACACTAGGCATTTCTTCTCCACTCACTTCTGATGCATTTGTCTCTCTCCTCTCCTCTCCTCTCCTCTCCAATCCTCCAGTACATGGTTCCTTCTCCCTGGCCTTGTTTCTGCCAGTGGCCTCTTCCTGTTAAAATGGAGGTTTTCCTTCCTACTTTTGCCACGTGCATGCTCATGACAGATTTTTTAATTGGTGGACTATTGTTGTACAGCGCTTTGAGACAACTGTTGTTGTTAACTGGCACTATACAAAAGCATGAAGAAAGAATAAGAAATTGAATTGGGTTTATTTTACACAGTCTTCTGTACGTTTTTGCTTTCATAAATCAAAGCACAACTTTCTGTGTTCATGAACATGATTTTATAGATATAACATATCAAATCTTTAACAAACTGTCTTCAGACTTGCTTTGTGTCTATCATCACCTTCTCCAGGCACGGGGGGGGCAGGATGTGACAGTAAATAAATACGTTGTGTTTTTCTATGCATTGTACAGGTTAGGTATAACACACAGGCCACACAATCCCCAGCAATTTCTAACAAAAGGACTCCCCCTTATATCAAATATCCTAATGATTTCCTTCAGGTGCATGCTGTTCCCGTAGCGAAACACTAGCAGAAAACCTGCTCTTGAAGAGTATTATTTCATTGGCAGTTGTATTACCCATTTCTTCATCAGCTGTGTCGTTTTATATTTGTTTGTTATTCGTTGTTTGTGCTTCACTTTATGGTGAATGACTCGGCTGCTTTTGTGTTTATGAATGATCATATTGTTAGTAGATCACGTGCAGAACTCTATCGCCATGTTTGGAGCTTCATGAGGGGTGTGGGGGGTGTTTCTTTTCAATCCACTCTTCAGCAAATTGGCAATACAACGAGCAGTCATAAATCTATGCAGCTGTATGAAAACCCAAGTACACCCACGATGATTCAATAGCTTGTAGAGCTACGTTTAGCACCAGTGGTAGACATGTGCATTATGACCAAACA